TATATATATCCTAAAAAAAAAAGTTTACAAATGCTTATTGCCCTTATAAGGTAGTAACTTAGTCTGAAATTTTTAATATAACAACTTTAGATGAAATATATAGGTGAGCAGATGTGGCTCACAATTTGGTAAGAAACTGGTCAGTTTTGTCTCTGTCACCCTTAATTAATACATAATAAACAATTATTAATGATTTATAAAGTTTTAGAAATTAATAACCTATCTATAAACTATTTATTAGCCATCTATAAGGGGAGCCTTATTGTAACGTGTCACCTTTTTTTTTATATTGAGGTAATTCAAAAAGTTACCTGTAGCAAGTAAGATATTCATTTTTCATCATCTTTCCACAGAGCCCCTCCTCAAAGGGTCTGAAATGCCAAGTTTCTTTTAGATATTCACATTTCTAAAATGATGAATTGTTCAAATTGTCCACAGATCCTTCTGTTATCACCTGCGTGTGTTTTAAAGTATCTGCAGACAAAACACAACTCCGGAGAACCAACTTGAGTTTTTGTGACTGACGGGTTTGAGAAGCGTGTGCGGGAGGTTTGTCATTAAAAGTGCAGGCCTGCAGAAACAGAGTTCATTTTCTGTTTGTTTTTCAGCAACACTGCAGTTCCACTTTTTGTTGCTTAAACTAGTCATTCTTAAAATATAAAAAAAATAAAACCCGGCTGTACTCATAAATAACTGTCATTTTCTTTCACGTTTCATGATTTTATAATTTTTTTTAGTTTATTTACGTTGTACTGTTTATAGCTTTGTTAGGTTTTTATAGCTTTGTTTGTGTTTTAAACTGTTTTAAAGTCGTTTATGTAACGCTGGGGTTCATTTGGGGGCAGCTTAAACCATAAATGCTAATGGCGTAATTTATTTTTTGCTTATTTCAGACTAAACACCTGTCCATTTAAAAAATTAAACAGAAGTCAAATGTCTCTCATTTCATTTCAAATGTTGATTCCACAAAATGCAAATTAATTTCATGTCTTACAATGTGAATGAAATGCTAAATATAGACAGAGAGACTCAGTGGTGCCACCAGGTGGGGGACAGGGGGGCAATGACCACCCCTAAAATTTGCTGTCAACAGAATCCCATACCCTTAAACTGTTAGATTAAATTATTTTAAATAAAATATTAGTAATATAATCTTAATTGTAGGAGGACTGATGCATATTCATGCATACACAGACACAGGCCACACTGTTGGTGGCAGGAAGTAATTAATAGAGAGCAGAATTTATTAAATAATAAAGCGGCTTGCCGTACTTAACCATGGAAGTGGCTGACCACATCCAGGTGGTGGACTACTTCAAAGTCCTGGTTTGTTTGTTAGTTTTAGTCCTCATTCGTCTCTACTCTGCAGAAACAGTTTTTAAAGTTTACAACAAGTAAGAGGCTCAGTCCCAAACTATGTTTGATCATTTGAAATAACTTTTCCTCTGCGTTGATTTTTAGAGGCCTTTTCCAAAAGTCAGATACAATTGCATGACATGACAATTCTCACTGACTCCAATGTTTTGAACTAATTAAAGTAATGGTACCCCTTACATTTTTAACACCAACAAGAAAGATTCATTAAAGAAAAAAAAAGCCTGGATGTTAATATGAAGAAAGTTTACCCGAGCGTCACATGACAGCGACATTCTTGTGCTCTGCTATCAGCTGCGGCCTCTCTGTGGAGTCCCGTCTGGTGTTTCTGAGCGTCGTCAGCATAAAAGCTTCTGTGCTCTCACAGGTCTGGACGTCTTTCACAGGAACAACCTTAAGGCACAAATTATTCATGTCTGTCTCTTATAGAAGGAGTGGGGGGTAAGGGGGTAAACAGAGTGCATGGTGTGTCAACCGGGACGCCCATCAGATGAGTGCTAATGTGACTTACTTATATAATCCCATTTAGAGGGACTCGAAAGAACTCAGAGCTCTAATAAACGTCTCTGTACGTTAGGAGAAATATGCACAGACAGCAGCTGTTCAACCAGACACTACAAGAGACTCATGAGGGATTTAGTTTGCAAACTTTCATAGATTTGACAGTAAACCTGGAAACTGCAGATTAAAGAATTTGCCTGAAAGACAGAAATACTGTAAAGGTAAGAGTCGATACTCACAAAGACCAGAAGATAAATGTGAAATAACAAATAAATCATTGTCTGTATCCCAGTTTATACAGTTTGTTTGAAAGGCTGCATGAATGGGTTTTCCCCTCAACCACTCCTGATCTGAGACAGGGTGAAGTTTAGTGTCTTGTTCAGATTCAGGGTCAGGGATCAAACCAGCAGAGGATCCTGAACCTGCTGGAGCCACTGCTGCTCAAACTATGAGCCAAAACTCATTACAATTTTACCTGAGATATAAGCCACCTTCATTGCTTCAGAGAAAATGGGTCAAAAGATGATTAAAAAAAGTTAAAAATGTTAATTAAATCTTTTCTCGCCTTTTTTTGTTTTAGATTTGTCTTCTTGTTTGACCTTGTTCCACAAATATAACTTTGTCTGCAGTTTCAGAAGAAGGTGGAGGTTAGGTGACAAGGTAGTGAGCAATTAACATCCTACCTGTTCTAGATACCTTTTTGTTAATAACCTCAGTTTGGAGAATTAGTTTAATTTTAACAGGACCAAGACCAAAGTGGATGGCTGCTGTCTTTAAACAACTCCTGTCTCAAACATTTCATAAATGCAAAAGCAATTCAGTGTTTCACATTACTGGCTTATTCTAGAAGAAATAACCTTAAAATAAATATAAGAAGAAGAAGAAGAAGAAGAAGAAAAACACCAAAGTTCATGCTCAATAATACTGGTAAAAATCCAACAATGTGCAGTCAGGTCATCTGGACGTTTTTTTTTTTTTTGCTGAGACGTTTCATCCTTCATCCAAAGGACTTATTTAATCTGCGGAGCCACCAAACAAACTGATTTCCACAAACAGCATAATCCACAGTGGGAAAAAAAAACAGTTTTCTGGTGCTGAGTTGGCCTCCGGGGCCCGCCCTCTCCCTCGTCAACTCCTCTGAGACAGTCTGCCAAAGTGGTTCAAAACACCAAAGTTCAGAGGAGTCTTGGAGGAGTTGACGGGGGAGAGGGTGGGCCCCAGAGGCCATCTTAGCACCAGCAAACTAATATGTTTTGCACTGTGGAGTGAGATGTTATTGTCAGTTTGTTTGGTGGCTCCTCAGACTGAAGAAGTCCTTTGGATGAAGGACAAAACATCACAGCAAAAAGGAAACCGTCCAGATGACCTGACTGAACATTGTAAGAAGAAGAACATTATATTCTTGCACTAGAAACACAGCTGTTGATATCTGTAATCTCCAGTAACCACAGAATGTCACATAAATGGGTTGTAGAAATGTTAAACTGTAAAAAAATACATTTAAATTGTGAGGCCCAGCAGCACAGGGGTTAAAGCTGCCGCCTCTCAACAAGATGGACGCAGAATCGCTTCACAGTCTGGCATCTTTCTGGAGTTTGCATGTTCTTCTCTCTGTGCTGCGAGGGTTTCCTCCCACAGATCAAAACATGCATGTTAGACCGATTGGTAACTTTCAATTGTCCCTAGGTGTGAGTGAGAGAGTGAATGGTTGTTTGTCTCATTTGTTTCTGTGTGTCTCTGTGATGGACTTGAGACATGTCCAGGGTGTCCCCCCTCTCTCATACAGTGATTGCTGGAGAAAGACGCCAGCTCCACACGACCCGGAAGGGAGAAGCAGGTAAAGAGAATGAATGAATGAATGAATGAATGAATGAATGAATGAATGAATGAATGAATGAATGAATGAATGAATGAGTGAATGAATGATGCTTTCACTGCATAATTTTTTATCGATTCCATCTGTTTTAAGACAACAGTGGTCTTCTCTATTAGCTCACCAGTCTAGTCAGAAGTAACCTCAGTTTACCTCAAGAGCTACCTTCAGCAGGTAAGATATTAATGATTCATAAATGTTCCACAGAACCTCACTTCAAAAGCTCTCTGGGGGAGAGGAAATGGCTTCTGATTAAAGATGAGCTCAGAATCCACTCCAGACCAGCAGATACAGTTTAGAGTTCCTTTAAGCAGCAATGGAGGAAAGGATTCAGGATAAATCTAAACATCACTGATCTATCATCTAGTGTCTCCTCATTGGCTCTCAAAGTTGTCTGAATAATACATTGGTCACTGAAAAAAAACTATTGAGTATTTGTGTCTGTCTCAAACATGAGATTATCTGGGAGGTTATTGCTTTAGTGAAAGCTGATGTCAAATAAAGAAAATAAATATGGAAAGAATGACAATAAAGGAATGTTTCAGCTACAAAATTTTATTTGCAATCACAAATACATCAGCACTTCCAGCGCAGTCGGGGTTTAAATCTGGTTAAAACGTTGTCTGCCAAAATGGCAATGACAATGCAAAATAATGAGCAATGTGAACGTTCATGAAACAGCGTTTGTACGCACACACATGAACTTTGAGTTGTTTTAAGACGATATAGATCCACTTTGGTCTTAGTTGCGTTCAGACTAGCTATCAGCTCATCAATCTGATCAGAATTAAATTGTTTCTCCAAATTGAAGATGTTCAAAAACCCATCCACTACAGGTAAGATACTAATTATTCATAGTTTTTTTCACAGATCCATGCTTCAGAATGACCAGAATTAAGGACTGAATGAAATAATGAGGTTCAGTTCTTGGCTGAAAACACGATGAGTTCTGAACTGAACATTTTTACTTTATCTGCAAGAAAAGCTTTACGCTAACACTGATCAAATGCAAAGTCGTGAAGATGGAACAAATAAATTTATAAAGCAATTAAACAAAATCAGCTCACAGGTTTTCCCGTGTCTGTGGAGTCCTTAAATTAAAAAGTTGTTGATAAAAATTGTAACCGGACCCTGACCGTTAACCTACAAAAACAACCAAAGTGACTAAACCTAACATTGCAGGGTCACAGAGCAGCTTAATGTAGATCACTGAGGGTTTCAGAGCTTTGTTTACATTGAGTGTGGACCCGCATTTCACAATCCTCTCTTTTTTCTTTTTTACTACCAGAGTAAGCTCTGTCAAACTGCATCATTTGGTATAGTTCAGTGTAATCTGCTTTGTTTCAGTCTTTGCAACATGAACATTTATTTGGGAATGTGTGTCAGTTTATCTTCGTCGTATCTCTCCTGCGTGTCCATCACTTGTTCCGTCGTGGCTTGTTTGTGATAAAACACGGTCACGGTGGTGTTCCCGCTGTCCTGGCTGGCCCTGGGGTTCGTGGAGACGCTCAGCTGGGCCTGCAGAGGACTGTCCCTCCTCTGGGCCCCCGCCTCGTTGGTCGCCATCATGGTCTCCACGGCCGCGCTCACGGCGGACAGTAAGCCCCGTCCGCGGCAGCGCAGCAGGCGCAGGAAGGCGTCCCTGAAGTCCGCGTTGAACGCGTAAATCACCGGGTTGAGAGACGAGTTGCTCCAACCGATCCACACGAACACGTCAAAGGTTTTCTCGCTGACGCAGTGGGGGCCACGCTGGGCCCCCGGGGCCCCCGGCGCGGGGCAGAAGGGCAGGGCGCAGTTCAGGATGAAGAAGGGCAGCCAGCAGCAGACGAACACGCCCATGATGATGCTGAGAGTTTTCAGCACCTTGGTCTCCTTCCGGATGGAGACTCGGAGGTCGCGGTGGGACCGGTCGGGGCCGCGGGGGTCCGCGTGAACGCCAGTGTGCGACTGATAAGAGGTGGCGCCGATTTCTGAGCACAGGTGAGGAAAAAGTTCGGGCAGGTGCGATCGGCAGCTTTGCGCGTGCTCCGCCGCGCGCTCCAGTGAGGATATGACGCGGATCTGCATCTGGGCTATCCGGTAGATGCGGGTGTAGGTGACGATCATGATGAGCACGGGGATGTAGAAGCTGATGAGGGAGGAGGAGATGGCGTAGGTCCGGCTCAGGCTGGAGTCACAGCTCCCGTCACGTGGAACCGAACGGTCCGCGTCTCCGAGCCCGGCCCGGTGCCAGTCCAGCTGCACAGGAACGAAGGAGATGACCACGGACACGGTCCAGGTCACCCCGATCATGACGAAAGCCACCCTCTTGTTCATGCTCCTCTCGTAGCAGAACGGGCTGGAGATGGCCCAGTACCGGTCCACGCTGATTACGCACAGGTTGAGGATGGAGGCCGTGGAGCACATGATGTCACAGGACAGCCAGGTCTTACAGAAGCCCCCGAACGGCCAGAACCCAGCCACCTCGGCCACGGCTTTCCACGGCATCACCAGCACGGCCACCAGCAGGTCGGACAGAGCCAGAGACACGATGAAGATGTTGGTGACTTTGGCGCGCAGGTGGCGGTAGCGGTACACGGCTGCGCACACCGTCATGTTACCCAACAGGGTCCACACGATGAGCAGCGCCAGGACGCAGCCGGTCAGAGCTCGGTGCGCCGGCGGCTCTTCGGCCGCTCCGAGCAGCGCCCAGCCGGTGCTGTTCTTCATGGTCCAGCTCTCATGTTAAGGTGAGACAGTCCTGTCCGTGGCACATGACGCGCATCCTGCTCGGATCGGGCTCATCTGGTTCACAGCTGCGGACAGTCAGCTCCACCGCTGGCACGCAGCAGCTCGGAGGCGCACTGGGCTCCAAAGTGCTGGTCACATGAGAATTTATGATTAGCTGTCACAGCATTGGCTGGCAGACTCTGCGCTCCACCACGCACATGCCCATCAGGTTTACACTGTCTCACATGTTTGTAAATGACAGAACAATCTGAAAGAACAAGTCCTTTTTATTTATTTTGATAAAACACCTGCAAGAATTCAAGGAACAATCATGTTTCAAGATTTTGTTAAAGGACCCAACAAAATGCAGACTCAAACAGAAGGAGAATAAATAACAAATAAGGGTTTAAATAAATAAAACCTCACAGCAAAACAGCAGCCAGTGATGGCACAAAGGCTGAAGGTGAACTGAGTCAGAGTCAGGTGATTACTGACTGAGTGCAGATGAAGACTGGGCGGATTAAGAACAGGTGTGGATTAGAAACCGAGGCCAGACTGAGGGACTATCAGAGAATATATATTTTCTGTGAAATGCAGAGGGGCCACTGAAATTTGTTGAAGAAGCTAACTGAGTTGTTAAAGATAAAAGAAGCAGCTGAAGAAAAAGCTTTAGAACGAAAAGCATCAAAATAGATGAAAGCAGCAAATTGGTAGCTAAAAGCTAAATACTGTATAGCAGCTTGTAAAAGATAAAGTAGCAAATATAAAATTTAGAAAAGGATATGCAAACTAAAGTTAAAAGTAGCAAAATACTTAAAATTAAAAATAAACTGAGACTATTAAAATAAGCTAAAAGCGAAAAGGTTTTTAAAAAAGTAGCAAACGAAAATAAATAGGTATGCTGAAGCTGATTTCCAAAATATATTTTTAAAAGTTTTAAAAATACCTCAGTGTCTATAAAAAAATAAATATAATAATAATAAATTTAAAAATATAAAAAGTCATAAAAACTAAAATGACATTACCAATCTCATAAATGAGCATTTTGATCTCTTGAATATGAGTTCTCGTGGCCCCATGAGACTACCTGTATAAATAAAGCGTAAATGAAAAAAATATATATTTAAAACAACTCAAAGTTTGCAGAAGTAACGACACTGCAAGAACCGTAGAAAAATAAAAATAAAAGAGGAAAACAACAGTGTGAATACTGAATGAGTGACAGAAAACAGGCAAAATACAACAAATCTTACATCAACATGAGGAAGAAAAAAGGCTAAATATCAATAAAACATGAAGCCAAACTACAGATTTTTTTTTTTGTAGGATTACATCAGAATTCAGTTTTATAAAAATGTGTTCCTTTGGTAAAAACACAACACCAAATCTTCTCAGTGCTGGACAAAGAGTGATGATCAATTATTTTAATCCTCCAGCATTAACCAATAAATCTCCCTCTAATCAAAGGAAAACTTTGCTGACAAAAAGAAAAAATATCAAATTACTGTAATAATTATCTGATTAATAAACAATAAAAATGTTGTCGCAACAAACTTAAAATGTTTGGTTGGAGCTGGATAAGGAGTTTAGATCAATCATAAATTAACGTACAGTTTAATTTTGTGTTTGACTAGAAAGTACTTGAGGATCCACGGTGATCTGTTCAGATCAGCAGCAGCTTTGTTGCTGATACTCTAGTCTTGTTGATCCAAACAGAATTGTTTGGATAATATTTGGAATCCTGCATTTTAGTTTTTTTATGCAGTGCTTTTTAAGATGTAAATTGATTTCAATTTCCAATTGAGATTAAATAATTTTAAACTATTGTGATGAAGGTAAAAACTTAAATTTTGCTGATCACTACATGTAGGAGTCACCTTGTGACAGACTGGTCACCTGTCCAGGGTGGATCACACTGCTCACCTGTTGGACACCTGAGATACTGAGATGAGATGGATGGATGATTGGTTGGATGATGGATGATTGGATGATGACGGATGATGGATGGATGATGGATGGATGATGGATAATTGTTGGATAATTGTTGGATGATAAATGGATGATTGGTTGGATGATGGTTGGATGATGGCTGATTGGATGATGGTTGGATGATGAATGATTGGATAATGGTTGGATGACAAATGATGAGGGATGGATAGATGCATGATGGTTGGATGGATGATGGTTTTATGATAGATAATGGACAGAAGATAGATGGATGATGGATGGATGGTGCATGATGGTTTGATGATGGATGGATGATTGATTGGATGATGTTGGATGATGGGTGATTGGATGATGGAAGGATAATGATTGGATGATGAAAGGATGATGGATG